GAGGTGAATCCAAATCTGCCATTTCAATAAATGTCTCAGTCAATCTATTTTAATGAGTAGAAATATAATGCATACAAGCCAGAGAAGAACGTGGAAACAAAAATACAAAGCCCTAGTCATTAAAGTTGAACACAGCAGGAAGCAATTGGCCAGGAACAGAAAAGATTACTTGAATGAGTGAACTTGTAAGGGAGGAATTTGAACATGGACCTAAATTCAATTACTGGCAAAGGACTACTAAACGATAAGGACAAATAAATAGGATGGAGTGAGGGTGAGGAAGAGAGGGGGAAACAAAACCTTGAAGATACACTGATGAGGTGAAGGAAGCTGGTCAATTCAATTATCAATTCATTCAAGGAATGAATACGTGCTTATTGAGAATAAGCTTTGCGGACTGGGGTTGAGGCTCAGTGGTAGAGCGCTTGCCTAGCACATGTGAGGCATTGGGTTATATTCTTAGCACCCCATAAAAATAAATAAAATAAAGGTCCATCAACAACTAAAAAAAAAAAAAAAAGAGAGAGTAAGTTTTGTGGAAGGTTTCCTGGGACACAAAATATGAAAAACAGAAGGGAAGAGAAAAGAAAGGATAACCAGTTCTAATCAAGAATTATGAACTTTGTGCACTGGGAAAGTGACTCTAGAGATAATCTTACTCAGTTCATTTATTGCACACAAGAGAGATGATTGACAAGTGTGCTCTTGTAGCAAAATGGGAGAGAAGTTACAGGAAAGTCTGGGAAATAATGGATGGAAGCAAGGCCTAGAACACACACACTAATGCACTATTGGTTGAATTTGACCCCAGGAGGGCATAAGATAGAATCTGAGGGCAGGACCACAGCCTTTTGGAACCCAGAAGACAGGCAGCCCAACACACAGATGTAACACAAACACTGATGTCATTCCAGTATTTCCATAGACAAAGGGAAATGGTCCCTTTGGATCCTTTACCTGCATCTATTCAACCAGAAAGAAAACCCTGCTCCTTTTCTGCAAGAGAGCCCATATCTCAATACCAGCGGCAGGACCATGCAAGGAAAATGAGAAGACAAAGGGGGTGGGGTGGGGGGAAGAGGTGTCTAATTATTCTAATGTCCAGTGGGTTTACTCATCTAATTAAAAAATGAATTTTACTTGGTTAGTACTGTGTCTAAAATTTGGGAACTTTATGAAAAAAAAATTGGTCTCTTTGCTCCATCTGGTGGTCAATCTTAAAATGACAGCCTCTTGACATTTCATAGCCAAATCATCTGTGGCATTCCACAACCAGAAAATGAAGGAAGAACACGGTAAAACCAGCCCCTCTTGTCACATAATTGAGAAATGCTGCAAAGAGAAGTTACAGGAAAGTTTAGGGAATTTTCTCTGTGATTAACAAGGAAGTTCTTAAATCCAGTGCAAGGCAGCAATCATAATTCAATTATGACTTGGAAGTTCATGTATAGGACACAACTTTAGCTACCAGTGCAACAAGAGTAAACATAGCCTAGAATGTGACCCCTAAAGTCTAACTTCAATACCAAATCACTTGAGAATTACATCACAAACTACAGATGTTCATATGCAATTCTAGAAGGAAGGAAGAAGGAAGGGAAGGAGAGAGGGAAGGAGGAAGGGAAGGTACCATACCCCATCTAATTATAGCTGATAAAAATAAATAAATACATTAAGTGAACTACACTATCATAAGACTATTTGATTGTAATAAGTAATGATAAATTCATTAAATAGGAAATAACTGATATTTCATTTATCATTTATTAATGATAAATTCATTAATTAGGAAAGTAAAATTATCACTGGAAATTAAAAATAGAAGAAATTCCCATTCAATGAATATTTAATATATGCCAGGTATGTACTCATGTTATTTTATTTAAGCCTCACCATAGTGATTTAGGTAAATATCATGATGACCATTATTCACATATGAAAAATGAGGTATTGAGAATTTAGTGACCTTGCCCAAAGTCACACACGGTCATTGATTGACAGAACTAAGGTGTGAAATATCCATCTTTCTGATTATAAGCCTCTGCTTTTCCCTAATGGATTATGTTGCCTCTTTCTATAAGTAATGCTTTTAAATCATGACCAATCATCAATCTAAAAGGTGTACGCTGTCTTCCTTTTTCCCCTTAGTTAGTCTATTTCCTATCATTTTCACTACAATGGTATGTATTACATGCAAAAGTAACCATTCAGTGTTGCAAAAAGAATAAAACAGAGATGGAATGATCTTTTAGAACTTGGAATATGCCTGAATTGTAAGGCAAAGGAAGAGAAATTTAACTTCATGTAGCATTTCCAAATGCCAGGATTAGATAACTTCCTTCAGTGTAGCTTGTTGTACCAAGACCAAACATTGCCAACTCTCAGGTATACCCAGCTGAGTCTTTTCCACACAAATCTTGGCCCAGTGATTTAATTAAGCAGCATCAGATTTGCAGTCTCAACACCAAAAGAAGGACTGTCAAGCTTTCACCTTCCTTAACTAATAAGACAATTCTTAAGACTCTCACTGCTTCCTGCTAATCCATGTCAAGAGCTCTTCAAAACATAAGCCAAAAAGTAGAGGGAAATAATCTATTGCATTTGATTTTTATATAAAATTCTTTTTAAAACTGTCTTAAAGCTATTTATGCTTCTGCTGAGTATACAAGTATAATGTTTTGAGTCATTAAACTCCAGGTTTAGAAAAGCAGCAACAACCACAATTTTTTTTTTTTTTTTTTTTATGAATGCTCATGATGGAGTATTGTACCAAAGTAGCATTTTTCAGGTCTCCAAAGCATCCTAGAATAATTTGGTTTAGGACAAAAGTGTGCTTTATTGTTAAAGTTGTTAAGCTTGACACCAGAATTCCTATGTTAAAATTTTTCATCTACGTCTGCTAGAATTTGATAGCTGATTTTTTTCCCTCATAATTTAAAGATAAAGTCATTAATAAATTCAAGTCAGAACAAAAACAAAAGTTTGTTTCCTAATACTCTAGAGTTTACATGAGGGATTATTTTAGGGATCTAGCTAGATAATAAATTTGCACATCCTAAAGCTAAAAATGAACAAGAGATAACAGTATAACTGCCGTCTTTCCAGTAAGATTCCCACTAGTGCAGTGGTGTTTCATGAGGGGAACACTGAGCCAACCAAAGTCAAAGTGCTTTCTTGATGTCCTCCAAAGGTATGGCTATAAAGGGTCCAAAGACAGGGCTTCCTCTAGAGCACAGGACTAGTTCCAGAGGTAACAAGTTCTGTTGCAGACACCACATAAATCCTCCAGAGAGAAAAGGGAGAAATAACCAAGTTTTCAAAAGAAAGAAAATATTTGAACAGACATTTCATAAAGAACAAAGAAAAACATACTACTGGTCACATGGAAAACTGGTCAATAGCACTAGACATCAGGGAAATACCAATCATAACCACTGCACAATTGAACAGAGTGGTCAAAATTATAAAGACTGACAATAGCAAACATGGACAGTGGTTTAGAGCAGTGGGAACTTCTGTGTATTTTTGATAGGGATGTCAGATGGCTTTGTTTTTTAGAGTTTTCTTTATTTCTGCCCCCTCTTTCATTTTTACCTTCTCTTTTCTTCACCTCTGTTTTGATTCCAATTCTAGTGATATGTATCCCTTGACCTCCATGAAACCCCTTCCTGGTATGGAGCCCTGGCTGGTAAGCTTTGAGCACACCTAGTAGAGAACTGTCTTGACCTCTTTGAACATTACCATTGGCATCTTTTACTCACCAATTGTTGTTTTGGACAAAGCTCCTTGAATTTTGAAATGCTGCTTTCAAATTGATGTATCATGCTTTTTGTTGAAATTTGATGGATATTTTGGAATTTTCCCATGCCTAGGCTTGTCAAATGTCATTTCCATCTAATTTTTCCTGTATAAATGCTGATGTTTTGTTGGCATTATGGCTGTTGATAGCTCATTTACATATTCTGATATTTTGAAGTTTATGAACATACTCTGCTTATTAATTTTGTTTTTGATGCCATCCATGGATTTTCAATTTTCCTTTCTAGCTGATTTATTTGCTTTTCTTTTCCCTAGGAGCTTAATTTCTATATTCACAAGTATATATTATATAGAGTGGTGCTTTTAAAAAATTATTAACACATCCATAGGGTTCAATGTGATATCCATACATGCATATAACATTTTGATGAAATTCAACTTCCCTTTTCCACACTCCACCACATCTTTCCCTCACTAGTAATCACTATTCTACTTTAAGGCCATTTTTTTTTTTCCAGTTTTCATTTAGGATAGAGACCATGCAGTAATTATCTTTCTGTGTCTGGCTTATTTCACTTAACATGATATTTTCCAGTTCCATCGATTCTGCTGTAAATGATAGAATTTCAACCTTCATAGATTTGTATATGTATGAGCACCCTGATTTTACTTTCCTTGGCTATATATCCTTCAAAGACTATCTGTTGCCACTGTCACATCTTCAAAGCCCATGCATCTTCATAATCATTTTTAATATAAAAATCTCACATAGGTATGATAAAATCGCAAGCAGCATAGAAAAGATTACTATGAAAATTAAATTCTTCCTTCCCACAAGTACCTGGAATTTTTCTAGTCAAACTCCCTAGAAGTAACTATTGTTCACAGTCTGTTGTAGTTTTCTAGAAATTTTATAAGAATCTGAAAGAGGGACCAGAAGATGGCAGAGTAGAGGGAAGATGTATTTCCAAGTTACACCACGACTCAGGACCAAAGCAGTGAGTGTCCAACTTCTCAGTAAGGTGGGTGAAAGACGGATTTCACTAAAATGCAATATTGAACATTCAAAGTGATTTAGGGACTCAGAATTTGGGGTACAATAAACAAAGAAGAAAGAATACATTGGAGCCCACCTGGTTGCCACATTGGTGCCTAAAGTGGGAGCAATTGTGATGCTGATTCACCATGGAGGGAGGAAAACACAGATTTGGTACAGAAAAACCTGAAATTAAAAAAGGTACCTGAACTTGGCTGATCTGAAGTGTGCAATGTGCACCGGTGCTTGAAAAGCGCACACTGCCTCTCAGCTGGCTGCAGAGAGCTGAGGTGGGAGCCATCTTTGGACAATCACACTCCAGCTGAGGATGTGAAATAGGGAAGATCAGAACAAACACCCCCTTTGCAGGTGCCTATTGTGTGGCCTAGAGTGTACCTGGCAGAACATGAGTGAAACAGGTGCAGACAGAGCTGTACCCAGGGGGATTCCTCTTTGAAGACTGAAGGGGAAGCTAACTCCATTTTCCTTTGAATCTGGTTACTCACATGATCAGCTGAAGCCAGTCTGGAGTCTGAGTAAGCAGGAGTGACTGCCCTTGGGAACAAAGCCCAAGAAGATTGTGCTTCTGGGCAGCAGAGTGTTTGGAGGATAGGCTCCAATTAGAATTCTTATGAAGCTCTTGAGATCCAGACTCCCATCAGAGATCAGCTACTACCAAGCCCTAATCTCTCCAAAGCAGACACCACCCAACAAAGCCCCTGAGGCCTGATTAGACCTAAACCCCACCCACTGGAACGCCCTTCAGAGAACTCTGCAGAAGCTTTACCCTGGAAGTGCACCAAACTGGTCTGTTTGGACAAAACTCCAGTTAATAGTATTTTCCAACCCATCTGACCTCATGCTGGTGAGAAGGGAAGCTGCATCTGCTATCAAACAGTTTCAATTTTAGCGCACTCCAACTGGCAGCTCAGTGAGCAACACAAAAACAGGAAGGGATTAACAACCCGGACCCCTTGCTCTCTATCAGTACATAACTCAAGAAGAAATGGTAAAAATAGACGGTTGGACCTAGATAGTGCCTACCCATTCTGGTTAACTATTTTGACCACCTCATTGGCAATGTTTCCTTCATTTTTCATTAGGAATTTGGGTGTGTGTGTGTGTGTGTGTGTGTGTGTGTGTGTAAATTCTTGCTGTGCTGATTGGTTCAGGGACATATACACATAAACTTGTTTCTTTTTTTCTCATTTTAAGGATTTTTTAAATGTAGTTTTTTTTCCCCCCTTGCACTGTCTTCTAAGGGTTAGGTTTCTTGGTTTGTATATTTTCATTTTGTTTTGTATTATTTTCATGTGTCTAATTTAATTTACTTATTTCTCTTTCTGTCTTCTCCTGCCAAATTCTATTATCTCACTTCCTATCTCCCATGATATCACTTCTCCTATCCCCCCCTTCTCTATAAACATCACCTGCTCTATCTGTTCTGCCTTCTCTCTGTTTACTTTTTTGAAATTGTAAACTATTTTCTACCTTCCTAGAACATTTCTTTTCTCTTAATTAGCTCCATTTTACCATCTTTTAGCCCTAAATGGGTTATATAACTTCTGTCCATCACCATTAATGCTGATGTAATTATTACTGCTGTGGATAATATGGTTGACACCCACTGTTTGTTTTAAAGCCAGATCTTGTTCATGGTTATTGTTTTTATGGTTGACAATTGCTGATCCTACTATTCCTTGTTTTGGGTGGTAAGTAATGTTGAAGATGTCATAGTAGGAACTGGGTATTTACTTTAATGCTGTGTATTGTTTGCAATGGATGCTACTGTTGTTTATTTCATCCTGTTTCTGTGAGGTGCTGGAAACATAGAGGGACACTAGAAGTTCACAGGTTAGAAGACTCTGCTGCTGAACTCAACCAAAAGACAGTGCAACTTGATCCACACATAAATTAATGATACACAATCTTCAGCTACACTTTAATACAAAGAATACAAGAGACAAAAATGAAAATTAGCAATTAGACTATTTCATTCCCATCCCATTTAAGTTGGGTCACCCATTAATATGCTAGACAACATGGTGGAGATCTGCTGTCCAATTCCTAATCTGTCTAGTTTATGCTTATTTTTTTATTGTTAGTACTGTTTTAAAGGCTGACCCCACCATGCTTATATAGATGGAAAATAGTGTTATAGACATCAAAGTAGTCACTGGACATTTATCATAAAGCTATGTATCTGAAGCGAAATTTAGTGCCACTCCTGGTCCCCTTCCCTGTAAGAGTGGCCAAAAAGAGATTGGGCCATTTTAAGATCACAGATTAAAGATCCTACAGCTTAGAAACACATCTCAACCAAGCAACAGTGAATCTCACTTCACACATAATCTACTCCACCTAAGCCCGGCATTCCTCCAAGTCAAAGAAGTGAGGGTACAAAAGCCCCCTAACCAAAAACAAGGGCCCAAGAAGGAATAGTCAGAGAGGGACCTCAAGCCCCACCCCTTGTGATCTACTCACATTTCAAAAACAGAAAAAAGTCCCAGAACAAATAAGATAATCACACATAAAAGGTCATGTGTGGGGGGAAAAATGGGTAGGGGAACCCACCTCAATTGATTCCTAAGTCCAAGACTTCTGAAAACAAAAGGAAACAGGCAAGCAAATCTCCCCCCAAAATCCACAATCCCCCAACAAAGTATCCCACTTATAGTGATGTAGAAAAATCCCACATCAGAGAAAAATTATAAAAAGTTGATTGTTAAAACCTTCAATGAACTAAAACAAACCTAAGGAAAGAATTAAGAGAGCAAATACAGGAGATGAAATACCACTTTAGTAAAGAAATAGAAACATGGAAAAGATACCAAACAGAACACTTAGAAATGAAAGACACCATTAATCAAATTAAAAATGCACTTGAAAGTCCAACAAATTGGACCATGTAGAAAATAAAACCTTAGCCCCTGAAGATAAAACTTAAAAATGCTCAACATCTCTAGCAATTAGAGAAATCCAAATCAAAACTACTCTAATATTTCATCTCACTCAAGTCAGAATAACAGTTATTAAGAATACAAACAACAATAAGTATTGATGAAGATGTGGGGGAAAAGGCATACATTGCTGGTGGGACTGCAAGTTGGTGCAGCCAATATGGAAATCAGTATGGAGATTCCTTGGAAAACTGGGAATGGAACCACAGTTTGATCCAGCTATCTCACTCCTCAGTCTATACCCAAAAGACTTTAAAACAGCATACCACAGGGACACAGCCCCATCAATGTTTATAGCAGCACAATTCACAATAACTAAACTGTGGAACCAACCTAGATGCCCTTCAGTAGGTGAATGGATAAAGAAAATATGGTATATATACACAATGGAATATTACTCAGCAATAAAACAAAAAAAAAATCATGGTATTTGCAGGTAAATGGATAAAGTTGGAGAATATAATGCTAAGTGAAGTTAGCCAATCCCCCCAAAAAACAAATGCCAAATGTTTTCTCTGATATAATGAAACTGATATATTTCTCTGATATAATGAAACTGATTCATAGTGGGGTTGGGAGGGGAAGCATGGGAAGATTAGACAAAATCTAGATAGGGCAAAGGAGAGGGAGCGGGAGGGATAGGGCAAAAGGATTAAAAAAAAGATGGTAAAATGAGTTGGACATCACTTCCCTAAGTACAGGTATGAAGAAGACACGAATGATATAAATATACTTTGTATACAAGCAGAGATATGAAAAATTGTGCTCTATATATGTAATATGAATTGTAATGCATTCTGCTGTCATATATAATAAATTAGAATAAAAATTTAAAAATAAAACTTCAGGCACTGAAGACAGGCTGTATGCTCTTGTGTTATTTATTTATTTATTTTTATGTGGTGCTAAGGATCAAACCCAGTGCCTCACATATGCTAGGCAAGTATTCTACCATTTAGCTACAACCCCAGCCCCAGGCTATATGATCTTGAGTACACAAAATGTAATAAAGAAAAAAATTATAAAACATGACTAGAATATACAAAAACTCTGGGACCACATTAAAAGACCAAACCTGAGAATCACTGGAATAAAAGAGAACATGGAGATATGAACTAAAGACATAAAGAATATTTTCAATGAGATAGTTACAGAAACCTTTTTCCATGCCAGAAATGAAATAGACATCCACATTTGGAGGTTTACAGTACCCCAAATAGATCTATTCAAGTTAGAAGTTCTCAAAGATGTATCATAGTCAAAATGTCTAAAATAGAAAATAAGGAAAGAATAGTAAAAGCTGCACAGGTCACATTTAGGGGCAAATCGATAAGAATTACTTCTGATTTCTCAGTTCAGACCTTAAATCAGGAAGGATGTGGAATGAGTTATTTCAAACCCTAAAAGAGACAACTGCCAGCCAGGTTTACTATACCTATCACAGCTCAGTTTCAAATTTGAGAGAGAAATAAAAACTTTTCATGACAAGAATAACCTAAAAGAATTCATGAGAACCAAGCCAGCACTACAAAGAATACTCAAAGATAGCCTGCATACTGAAGAACTAAAAGACAATTCTCAAAGCTCACAAAGAGAGGAAGGTCAATAGAAGAATACTCCATCAAATGAGAATCAAGACCAGAATGAAATATAGCAAAAAATCAAAACATCAGAAAAGCACAAGCATATATCCATACTAACACTGAATGTTAATGGTCTCAACTCCCCAATTAAAACACACAAATTAGCAGAATAGATCAAAAAACAAGATCCCACTATATGTTATTTACAAGAGAGTCATCTTATAGGTGAAGATATTTACAGGCTGAAGGTAAATGGATGGAAAAAAAGTATTTCATGCATATGAACTCCAAAAACATACAGAAGTAGCTATTCTCATATCTGACAAAGTAGAAGTCAAGCAAAAATTAATCAGAAGATAAAAATAAGGTTAGTGCATCTTATTAAAGGACTAATTCAAGAAGAAAATATGATGATAATAAATATTTATGCCCCAAATGTCAATGTACTCATACACATTAAAAAAATCCTCCATGACCCTAAATCCCAGATAGATCCCAATAAATAATATTGGATGATTTCAACACACCATTATCATCAACAGACAGGTCATCAAAGCATAAAATCAATAACAATATCTCCAACATAAATAACAATATAAACCAAATGGAACTAACAGATATCCCCAGAATATTTCAACCCAAAGCAGCTGGATTTATCTTTTTCCCAGCAGTTCATTAAACTTTTTCCAAAATAGATCATATTCTAGGCCACAAAGTAAATCTTAGAAAATACAAAAAAAGAAAGAAAATTATATAATCCAATGTATCTTATCAGACCATAATGGAATGAAACTAGAAATTAAAAAGAAAAAAAAACCAATATAAACATTTGTAAACATATGGAGATTGAGCAATATTCTCTTTTTTTAACTTGTTCTAATTAGTTATACATGATGGTAGAATGCATTTTAACTTCTCATTCTTCTCATTGTACATGTTGAAGAATCATACCAGTTGTGTAATCATATATGTACATAGGGGAATAATGTCTGATTCATTCTACTGTTCTTCCTACCCCATACCCTCCCCCCTTTATTCCCCTCTGCTTAATACAAA